AGGCAGACAGAGTTACTTTCGCATTTTTAATATTAATATGGATAATATGACCCTATATAATATATGTTATGCTAATTTACAAAACTTATTTTCGCTGTATTTATCAGTTTAAAAATGTCCTTTCACATAATACTTTCTTAGATTTACGCGAATATTTGACATTTTAAATAAAACTATCTTTTCGGATTTTGTCGAAACGTCGGGAAACAAAAATGTAAATAAATCCGCGACAAAATCCGAAAAGATAGTTTTATTTAAAATATCCTTTCACGATAAACTTCCGTCGATTTTTAATACTGAATTATATCTAGGTATATGACTTATACTCGCTGGTCTTTTCTTGGCCGTCCACGTTTGCCTTGAAATTACCTTTTAAGTTGAAGTAGATAGAAGGTATGTTCTCTCTTGAAATGTATATCGGAAATCTGTTTACAATCGGTAAAGTATCACAAAACATTAGAGAGACCTGTTCTTTTTATAAATTGGCCAAAAATAAGCTATACTGCTATCAAAAATAAGCTCACAACACAATCAGCCTTAGCAAGAGTCGCGTTTTTTCCCTCTTGAGCTACGAACCCCAAAAATCATGATAAACTTCCACTTTGGACGAATGTTTGTTACAATAAACTAAGGTAAATAGGTATTAAATTAATTATTTATTAAGTACAGCTACAGTTATCCAATTACTAGAATTTTATAATTAAAATATATTATGATGACAGGATTAAATGACTTTAGACATAGTAAATACTATAATTAGTAAGAAATTAAAAAGCTGACAAACTTAATACAGCTCATGGCGTCTCGACAAAGATAAATGAATTTTTAACTGACTTCCAAAGAGGAGGAGGTTCTCGATTCGTAGGAATCTTTTTTTATGTATGTTCACCGATTAATCGAAGACGCCTGAACCGATTTGGAAATATATTTTTTTGTTTCAAAGTATACTTCCCAGATCTTATATAAATTTTATCGAATTCGAAATGGCTTAACCCATTTCGAATTCGAAAAAATTAACAATAAATATTTTTTTTAAATAAATTGTTTAATCGAATATTATGTTATTAAAAAAACTTTCTATTTACAAATTACCTGCTTATTACGTCTACACAAAAAATGCAAAAATAAAATTAAAAAAAAACCGACTTCCAGGCACCAAAATGTAAAAAATGACTAAACGAGGGTTTTCATTTAGAATAGATACCTAATCAGATATTTTCGAAGTCTGTGCCAAGTGCCAACGCTTATTACCCTGGAGAACGAACCCAGAAATACAGACACGCGCGAAACAAAGTATAAATGTACATAAAATAAAAATCATTTAAATTTTTTTATCACTTGTACTACTTAATATCTTTCATCGATATACTCGTAAATACATATATTTATATAATATGTATATTGATATAAATAAATGCGGTGTGTTTTCGACCCCAACACTGATATTCATATAAAGTATTAAGTGCATCCAAGTGTTTGATGACTGAAAGTAAATTAAAAAATAGTAATTTAATACAATATTTGGTTAGATAAGTTTCAAAAAATAATTAAGTGTTTATCTTATAATAAAAAATAAAACAAATTTACTTTAAGCTTGAGCTTCCTCTTCTTAATATATATATATATAGAAATATAAAACATTAAATGAGTCTGAGTGGATAAAGTGGTAGATGAGCTTGTCACGGCGGAAGCCGGCCGGAGAATTGAAATAAATTGTTTTATAAACATCATGGCTAACATATTTTTTCGTTACACATTAATAATAAACCAAACAAATACGTAAAAAAAACTTTTGATCTCTACAAATTCTTTTCCATAACAAATATAAGCTTTGAAAGAAAAAAGCTTTTGGTATTGATTTTTTTTTCAACCCTATTATATTATGTGAATGTTCATGAACATTTGACGACGCTAGGAAAAGCCATCAAGAGGTGCCACTATCTTGGTTAACCGACAGAGTACTTTATAACACACTAAACGGTAATGGTAATGCGTTCTCGTGTACTAATAGTTCAACTTTGGTGTTATTTATACACACTAATACTGTCTTATCAATAGATGGTGCTGGCCAATAAAATTAATAGAATACACTATTAACATGTACCAAATTGCAGGCAGAACAATATATAGTTATAAAATAATAATTTTTAACTATAAACAATGTTTTAAATACACATATTATATGTATTAATAATTACCAGCGACTCACCCTCGTTGTGTTCGTGGTCGTCCCTACTTACGTTTTAACCTTTAGTATAGATTTCTCAGAGATGAGATATTTTCCCGCAGTAAAAAGTATCCTATATGTTGACCCGGATCACCAGCTATCATTATACCAAATTTCATCAAAATTACTCCAGTGGTTTCCGTGATGCGGTCACAGACAGACAGACAGACAAAAATTCTGAAAACTATAGATTCGGCCTCTGTATCGATAATGTCTATTCAATAAGATTTTTAGAAAAATATTTAATGTACATATTCAAATCAGTTAAAAATTTATTATATGTACAGATAGATTAATAACATGGAGAAAAAGCTTGGTTCAATACATCCAATCATAGTGCTGTATTTGTTATAACGTCGTGTCACATGCATGATATTTGCATAAGCCCTAAAGCAGCTACATTTTCCATACAATTTTCACGCTCGCTTATAAAGGTTGTGAATATTTGACATCAATCTTATATGAAACATGTTATAATTATGCACGCCGTTATTACTACTATGAAAAATAACATTCATAATCAAGACGGATGATTAATGAACAATGCAAAATAATCACGCTAATATTATAAATTCTAAAGCTTGTGAGTGAGTGTGTTTGTTTGTTAGTCTTCAAGTTATTACGGTTTAACAGATTCTAGTAAAATTATTTGGATTGAAAATCGGTTATATCTTAAATGGCGTATATACTATTTTGTATCGATATATCGGCAAAAACTAACTATAGGACGTAAAAGAACAAGAAAATATAAGGATGCGAAAGCTTATACCTTTTAGAGTACGCTCGCCTCTTACAAATATTTTTATTATATTTTTACTATATATATATATATATATATATATATATAATATAGTATAGTAGGTACAGAATAGGTTGAATTATATAAATCCATCATATCGTACAGTACAATTATAATACAACTCATTGTGTTACAGATTTTAACTTGGGAATAACAAACATTTCTAAGTATATTTTCAATAACTTAGATACTTATTGTTCTAAATCGGTCACTAAACAAAAGGTATAGAACGCAAATACCATTATACGTATTCATAAGCGCTATATGCATCTCATCAGCTTATAAGCTTAAATGATAGTCGCCTCAGCATAAGGGCTTGCGCTGACTGACGTCCAAGCACGGCACGGCACGGTAAAGATTTTATTTCTGATCAAGTTCTTTTTACTCTTATTTCAATGAGTTTAGAATTCACATTACTTTATTTGGATACAATCATACGGCGACACGTCGTGGTATGCCACGGGTTATACCAAAGCGTCCTTCGGGCTGCCGTCAGTCAGCGCCGGCCCCAACCGATCCAGTAAGGGGGTTTTATGAAGTCTTAATTTTTATGTTTTAATGCCTTTATATAATAAAGTAAAAACGACTAAAGTTTCGTTGAATATTAGAATTATTATGATTAATTAGAATTATTAAGAATTTAAAACAAAGACGTATGATATTGTTTAAATATATGTACACAGTTTAAGGAAAAAAATTGCCTTGTTTTTGTTTTTAGAATTTTATCTGATTGCCTGCACGACAGATGTACTATTTAAGGATAGTTTTCAATCATTTTTATGGTGCACAGCTATGAATTGAAGGCGTAATCACGTTTCATAAAAAAATCAGAGAGTAGACAGGCAGAGTTGCAAAATAAATAAAAATGTACCCGTTCGTCTATACACTTATTCCTTTTTTTTTTATATTACTGAACGTTGATATTATATTAGATGCCTGTGTGTAGACGTTTTTGTGTATGTTTAAAAAAATATAATAGATAAGACATTTTAGTAATTCAGTACCTGGATAAGTTTTTGGTTAAAAAGTACAATTTTCTTTAAAAAAAACTAAAATCTTGATTAAATATTAAAAACAAAATAAAAACTTTGTACGCTACCGAGATTCGAACCTGGGCACCTGAGATAGTCGATCTTGCACCTTAGCCGCTTGAACACGATGCTTATATCATTTCATCATCATCATCAGTTGTACAGTGGCGCCTCCCACCCACCAGAAGTGACAACTGACAATGCAAAAATTGTGAAAATGCAAAAGAAAATCGCATGAAAATTCGAAAACACGCGTTTTCCCAGACATAAGACTAATCTAGATCGATTTATTGCCCCCGAAACCCCCTGTATACTAAATTTCATGAATATCGTTGGAGCCGTTTCCGAGATTCAGATTATATATATATATATACAAGAATAGCTCGTTTAAATATATAAGATACTTTTACCAAATAATGACAATATTTGGTATCTAAAACGGAGAAGACTGAGAACATTGCTTAAAATTACTTTAAAAAATTACATGATATTGGAAAAATAACTAGTGCTTTTCTTGAACACATCTAAAAGGGAAAGAAGGAGTGAAAAAATTATTTTAATGGCGGCAGGGGGGGGAAGTTGGGTTTTAGTGGGTATGCCGGTCTCATTAGCCGGAAAGTCTCCACATAGGTAACCAACCCGGGGGAAGTCGGGTGGTATCCGTAATAGGATTTCAAAAAAAAAGCCATAAGATGTTAACACTTGCATAAATTAAGTATTGAAATATTAAAAATTAACAATTTATAATTATTTACTTCAAATGTATGAAAAAAACTCATTTTGAACTTTATAAAAGCTTAAAGAAAATATTTTTTTTAGCTTTTATCCGAAACAATATATTAAAGCAGACTTTGAAAAGTTGTTCTCGTCGAAGATATATTTTTAAAGTAGATATACGTAATAATTAATAATACAAAACATAACATGTAAGTTTTATAAATTACCTGCGATACGATTGTGGTGCAACGGGCCAACTGCGTCTCGACCGAAGCACGAGTCCAATGCGAGGCATGGAGCCCTGTGTGTTGCCCATCTGCGGCGCGGACGTCCGCTTTCGACTCCAACCGCGGCGACCACTACTAGCGCCCCAAAGATGAGCCGTGCCATGTTCTGTTATGAAATACAATTTATTTAAACATAACTACAATTTTTAATCTTTATTATTATTAATCTTCTCTTATATAAATAAAAATGAATGTTTGTATCTTTGTCCATAGAGGTATTCCTAAGCCATTGATCCGATTCCGATAAAACTCTGGTGGGTTATTCTGTATAAGATGGTTCTTGGCGCAAAAAAAAGTATTTTTATTTGGTTTGTCGTTTGTTTTTTATGTGTTCTTAAGCCATACAAGCTGAGGGACTAGTCATTAGCGTTATATAAAACTGAACTGCCTCGTTCAAATCGTGCAGATCGTAAGGTCCTGAGTTATAGTCCCGAGTCGGGCCAAATCAGTTACTGTTTTTTTTTCTGTTATGAAATACTTAATAACAGCCCGGAAATGGAAAATTGGCGGTAAATCAGTGCGTGTCGAAGAGCACGTTAAACTATCAGTCTTGCTCTTATCTATCTTAAAAGCTCGTGTTATCTTGTCGTTCCACAGGAAAAAAGAGTGCACTTGTGGCTACGCACACACTTGTGTACTATAATATATCTATTCACATTGTCCAATAGAATTAGTAATCAAATAACAAGAATGTATTCAGCCTTTTTTAACGTCCCACTGCTGGGCACGGGCCTCCCTTCAATACGAGGGGGATCAGGCCATAGTCCACCACGCTGGCCAAGTGAGGGTTGGCGAACTTCACATGTCTTTCGAAAACTTGCTAGGTTCTCTCAGACGTGCAGGTTTCCTCACGATGTTTTCCTTCACCGTAAAGCGTAATCGTAAGCGGTAATCATGTTAGAAATGATTCGCAAATGAAAATATCAGAGGTGCGAGACCCGGGATTTGAACCCGCTTCCACTGCCTTATAATAGGAAATTATTATATAATATAATTATTGTGAACGCGAATAGTAATTAAAATATTGTCAATAACAGTCGAAATAGGATAACATAATCAAAATCCGATAAATTGTTACTGTGAACTTACCTGAAAACTTAGCTTTGACTTAAGATATTTTACTCTTTATCCTGCGATGTAAATTAATACCTATGCATTAAAAACTACATGTATTTTTAAATGAAAAAATGCAAACTCCAAAGATTATTTTTATTTTTAGCGTTTATAAAATACTGTTAATGTTAAAAATATTTATGAAACAAAGACCTCATTATGCAAAACTTATATTGCGTACATTGTTTAGTCCATTTGCTTCTAGCCATGAACCCGCCATGAATTGCAAATGCAATTTAAACACGTAACTTTTTAATCTAAGATTGCCGCCCGATTTAACTCCACCAGCGCCGTGTAAAAATAATAGAATTATTCACGTAATAAATGATCCGTATTTAAGTTTATTATCTACTAGCAGAACCCGCGGCTTCGCTCGCGCTAAAACTACAAAAAAATCTCTAAAAAGGTAGTTTCATACAAACTTTCACCCCTATTTTACCCTCTTATATGATGAATTTCGAAAAATGCTAAAACACGTATTTATTTATTTTTATTGGAGAGCATTAATACCAAGTGTCAAGTAATTCTGATCATATGTTTTTTTGGATTGTACTATAACCTGTTTTCCCGTGGGAATTAGACAATCTCCCGCTGTAAAAAGTAACCTATATCACTCTCCAGCCCTCCAACTATCTCCACACAAAAAATCACGCGAATCCATCACTCCGTTTCGACGTGAAAGACGGACAAACAAACAAACAAACTTTCACATTTATAATATTAATATAGATTATATTACCAATTTTATCCCAATAAATTATATAATATGATATCAAACTAATATAAATCAGGTTAGTTTCATTGGTAACCCCAAATATGTTGATTCAGACTATTTAAGATATTGGTGGCTTTGAATACCGCCATCTAACAAACAATGTTGATATAAGCTGAATGAAAAGAAAAGATAGAATAAAAGTAAATATGTATAACAAGAAATTATTGACATTACTACATAATAAGGTGACGAATATACTCATTTCATATTCCTCACAGGTGGCGGCTGATAAATAATATTTATTCAAGAAAAAAGTAAGTACGTTTTATTAGCAAATGAAATCCTATCATATTAGTCAAAAAGAAGCCTTTACAGAGCTTGCTAACAAAATAGAATTTAGAATAAGCTTTAAGCCGATTAATTATTACACAATGCGAGTGCTTGCGTTGCTCTCTAAAAATTGTATACTATTTGTTTCAAAATATAAAGTTATTATTTTTTGAAACTTATTTTTTTACAGTATATTTTTTTTAGAATAAGTACCGATTTCAGATACTTTAAGTTGATTTTAAAAATCAAATACTTAAAAATAATATATATATATATATATTCATGGCCACATGAAAGTTTAAAATATTGAAAAGTTAAGCTAGGTTAATCAAAGCACAAGCTCAATTTCAACCTTTTCAATCTATTGTGGCAGGCTTTTAACGCCTTTTTACATGTAAATTACTTTTCTTTGATATAAAGCAGAATCACCATTCTATTTAATATATACATGAATACAATAGACATTATTCTAATTTTTCACTTACAAGATTTTGTCATAAATAGCAAATTCAATAACGGCAAAATCATTGTACACTTCAATCGCGCAATTAGTCGAGGAAAACGTTGAAAATCTTAATACAAGCTTTAGCTTAAAGCTAAAAGCTTGTCACACTACATATTTTTTACATATTTTTATATATTATGTTAAAAAAATGTAATTCTAAATTAACGAAAAAAATGAACCCGTTGTAAGAGAGAATAATACAATATTTTCCTGGTGTTTTCTTTCAAAGGCTCTTTGCTATTAAGGTTATTTATTTATAAAGGCAGGTGCCGCACAGATGTCGCTCAAAATATATTTAAAAAATTGGGATAGAATAATGAACATAGACTTATACCTTTATACAATGAATAAATAACGAGTAGGTACTTTAGACATGAAAATTATCGAATAATCAAATAATGTATGTTTTAGATTAGGTATATAGGTTTTATTAGATATGTATTTATTATGTGAATATGAATGTACTACATATTGTCTACTATGTAATAAAAATGAAACTTGAAAGATATCAGACTAGTTACACCTATACTAATATTATAAAGAGGTAAAGTTTGTGAGTTTGTAAGGTTGTAGGGGGTAATGTCTGGATTTACTGAATCGATTAAGATGAAATTTGGTAAAAAGATAGTTTGAGACTCTGGGAAGGACATAGGACAAACAGCCTCTGTTAATTGTAGGTAGGCTGTCTGTAATAACTATGCCTTCAAGACATGTAACACCTCAGTCTCTCCCGTGACCATGGATGCCGTAAAGCAATCGAAACGTCGGGAACCAAAAATCAAAATAAATCCGCGAAATAATCCGAAAAGATAGTTTTATTTAAAATGTCAAACATTCGCGTAAATCTAAGAAAGTATTATGCAAGAAAGATTCTTTAATTGATATACTTACGCATGTTATAGTTTGACTGTGGCCCCTGCTCCGAGCAGGCGCGCCGGCCGCGGGCGCTCAATAGGACATCCCGCCGCGGGCGCTCATGCACCTCGTTCTCCCTCGCGTCCACCACGCCGCCGCCGCCCTCATCGCGACCCTCTTCCACAACACACGCGGACATCACTAACTCTACCGTTTAAAACGTTACACAAATAAAAACCTATTAATTAATTATATAGTATATGATTAATTATTATATTACTTCTGATTTAAACACAATTTCATATGTTCGCACATTCACTGGACTCGTCTCGTCACTTATCACAATATGTAGTCAACCTGAAACAAATAACGTTCAAATCAAGTATTGCTCAACGAGAAAGGTTTGCTTCGTGTAATTAGTGCTTTTATACGTGCTTAATGCCCGATTTTACCAACGTCATCTAAGTTTAAGGGATCCCCTAAGCATGGTTAGGGGGCTGTTAGGGGACAGTTTCTGTTTCACCGACAGTTAGGGGTCACCTAAATGTTAAAAAACCCCTTAAATTTAGGTGCTCGAAATATGGGCTTAAAGACGATGGTAAAACGAAATTTAATTTAGGGGCTAGTTTAGGGGAATTTTAAGCTAGGGATCCCATACGTAGGTGGTAGCTTATGGGTTGTTGGTGAAATCGGGCATTAATCCTTTAATTGTGTCGCATTTAAGTTTTAGTAGCATCACATGTGTTGTTTTGAGTGAAAATCCGATTAGGAACTAATATATAATATTCATGAATGTACTATATTTTTTCGATCGATTTGACTAAGTTAGTTTTATTATAGGTATAGATTATATTCAAAGACATATCTACTCAATTATGAAGACTCTCTACAGTTCCTTAACGAGCTATCTTGTTACTACGACTTTAACGATTTATTATTATTATTTTTGTACTTAATTTGTACAAGACATTGGAAAATCTTTTAAAAAATAGTAATAGGAATGTACAAAAAGATTATTTATTAGCTGAGACTAAAGGTTGTAGTACCGAGACGACTTTCTTGATTCATTTAATAAACATTTATACCCTCGACCTTTATATACAACCACAGTCGCGTCCGATTTAATTAATTTTTAAAGGGGCGGATAGGAATGATATTTGTCTATGCGTACCATAAAATTGTAACGATGAAAAAAAACAAATATTTTTTAAGGGGAAACTTATTTAAATTGGTTGATTTTTGCGACCCATCGAATATAGAGTTTTTCATTTTTTTATCTGCCACCCTACTATATCACTTGGGAATCTTAATCCAGCGACGTTTATAGAGGTATGTTTATAGGTTTCAATCTGTATTAAATTTTAATCAGTAAAGTATCCACGTAGATTAGCTTGAGCTTGTCATTCTGTGCGTCACTACATATATGTAAATCGGCTTCACATATTAGTGGTTGTCGACAAAGTGGAAATTCGTAGAAGAGTAAGTAGAGTCACGAACAGTCCCATTATCCTATTATATTTAATAACCAGAACGGCTGAACGAATCAGGATGAAATTTAGCACAGAGATAGATTGTAGTCTGAAATAGCACTTAGGTTACTGTTTATCCCGAAAAATGTGCGGTTCCCGTGGGATAGATTTGTTTTTGTTTTCACAGAGCGAGAGTTCGACTACCTATTCCATACTAACTGTTAAAACGTACCAAACCCGAGCGAAGCGACGCTAGTTATAAATAAAATAATACAATAAGAATTATATATTCGCAATGTACAATACAAAAGGCTACCCTTAATTCTAATAATAATATAATAATAATAATAATAATAACTTTATTCATAAATAAGAAAATTGAACATAGAACATAGTAATTTTTTTACAGTAAAGGCTTGTACAAATCAATTTCATACGGTTGGGTGAAGTACTGTACTCCTTGCTAGGTTATAAAAATAATCTGTATTAAGGAGTAACAGTCCCGTTCCCCTTTGGATATTTACCAGTATATTTATGTACCGTACAATATGTTTTCATTTATACTATCAACTAATTACAATACTAGGTTCTATCGTTAGTAGTAACATTAACTTGATAACTGAGTAAATAAATGAAAATGAAAATGGATGAATATGTGTGCGTGTGTGTGTGTGTGTGTGTGGTATGTGTGTGAATGTGTGTGTGCATGTGTGTGTGTGTGTATGAGTGTGGGTGTGTGTGTGCATGTGTGTGTTTGAGTTTATACGTCTAAGTTAGGTATTTCTCTGTTTCGTTATAGGTTTTGTTTTGTAGGAAAGAACGAACACTTTTTTTGCAGTTGTAGTAGGATAAGCCGAATATTGGACATTTTTGATTAATCTTATTGTATAAAGATGGCCCTAAATAATAGAAAAATCTCTTACAGAATGCTGAGCGTGCTCGTGGAAGTGCACAGATTTTGTCTTTGCGACGTTTGTTAATTTTTCTGTAGGGAGTCTTTCGGTGCTGCAGAAGAATCGTTTGTAGAATAAAATGCTGGCGTACGTTAAGAACGTTGCATTCATTATACAGCTGTATGGTTGGGAATAAAATTGGGCGGAAGGTACTTACCTTCAATATTGCTTTATGTGCGACACATACATACATACCAAATTTCAGCATAATCCATCTAGTGGTTTTTCCGTGATGCGGTAACAGAGAGACAGACAGACAAAAATTCTAAAAACTATAGATTCGGACTCTGTATCGATAATAATGTCTATTTCAATAGGATTTTCCAAAAATTATTTAATGTGCAAATTCGGCTTAGTTACAATTTTATTATATGTATATATACATATAGACTAATACAATGCATAGTGATAAGGTCAGTCTATCCCTTCACACATTATATAAGCCATAATTATTTACTTATAACGTTATTGACTCGACCGGAACTAGTTAAATATTTTTACACCTTACCCGGAGACACTATCGATCGCCATAGCAGCGTTGGCTCAAACTCTATTACTTTAATAAAATAATCCCCGGGGAAGCACAACTTCACATTAAACATGTCAAATCGACGTAAACTCCACCCGTTTTCATAAACTGCCCAAATGATGTGGTTGTTGTACTTGATAAAAATTACATTTTACGTATTAAGTTTATAAAACAAAATGAATACATATAGGTAGTTAAAATTTTATTGATATCAGTCATCTAAAATGTTTATATAGTAGATATCTTATTATGACGTGTTCTTGTTTACCACTTTTTTCAAAAATTTTTATTTTTTTTTTAAAATGTCAAATGCATTGAACAGCCATTGTTTAAGATTTTTTTTTCTATATTGAAAGAAAATTGGTTTGTCCAGATTCTATAAGGTCTAATAGAAATTATAAAATTTACCGAAATCGTGAATATATTATGTATAAAAAGTTTTTTAAATGCTTTTTTTGAAAACAAAAAAATAGTTTCTGCAACATAAAGATCTTATATTTTTTAAACTTTGAAAAAGATCTTTACGTAATTGAACTTAATAGCGTTACAGAAAAGTTTTTAGTATCCAGTTGTTATTATTTCCGAATCTATGATATCACACTTTTCCACCCTCGAGCGTATTTTGCTAACGACCCTTCTATGAATGAAACTAAATAGATGTCAAGCTGTCTACGTGCCTTTTGGGGTGTGTTTTCAACGTTATAGATGCCCCTTTACCTGAACAATAAAGTGATTTTCAACGCCACGTTCATGTCATAATTCGAATTTTCCGTTCATTTCAATCTTTAATTCCAAATTGTGAGTCGCTAAATATTGTTATCTAAAGTGATATTGCTATATTGTTATCTATAAATAAACTAGCGACTAACCTCGCTTCGCTCGGGTTCCTCGCTAGGTACGTTTTAAATTAAAATGGATATAGTATGTTATCCTTAAGAGATAGACATATGCCATTGCGGACTTTTCTGTAGATACACAATTCCACCATATATCATTTTGTTATATCTCAAAGGGTTTAGGCAGCGTTTTCGTTGAAAGCTCCCAGACGTCTTATTTTTTCCGACACCTCCAACTAATATCGTTATATTTTAGCCAATGTATACAAAAACTTAACAAATTATATACTGAAACCTTCCTCTTGAATCACTCTATCTATTACAAAAAACCGCATCAAAATCCGTTGCGTAGTTTTAAAGATTTAAGCATACATAGGGATATAGGGACAGAGAAAGCCTCTTTGTTTTATACTATGTAGTGATAAACGAAGACAAATTAATTGAGCAGCTTTAGTGTTATCAATAAAAAGAATTTGGAAACAGTTTGTTTTTATATTACAAGGTAAATTATATTCATATACGTATATATTTATATATGTTTGCTTCGAGTTCTCAATAATAATTACGGTCAAATTTGCCAAGGTGCGAACACTATTAATATATTAGTAATATATACACTGCATATTCTGTTAGAGATCATGAATTTGATCTCCAACCAAGCGGAAAATTTATCTATATTACATACCTATATAAAGATATTTTTTACATTTTTTGTGGTGCCTTTGTAAAAGTCTTCAAACGTAAAGTTAAATTTGCTTTTCAACTTTATCTATATAGGTATCTTTTCTGAATTATTTTTTACATCATTTCCGAAAAAGCACAAAATGACAAAACTCCGAATGAAGCTCAGTCGCTCAGGTACTAAAGTATAAACATGAAAAAAAATGTTTCTCTATTATGCTTGAGAGTTCACAGGCTCAACGGAAGTAGTTTGGTCCTTTGGGCCGTTAGCGTCACTGAGTCAGGTGCAACACGTAGAGACCCTTTACTAGATTTAAATTTGTTTAATACATTCAACCAGTAGTTTTGACACTTTTCTTAAATGCTGCTGCTAACTTTGTCATGATTTGAGAATAAATTTGAATCTGCTTTCACTATGGCTAGTATAGTATTAATGATAAACGATTGCGTGCTTTTCTTAGACTAAAGAAGTTTTATTATATTCAGTATAGACAGATACAGAACAGAATTAGATGTTGCCAGTAGTTTACAGTATAAGTTAATACAATTATTTATAGCTATATTTTGATACAATTTCAACAAGGATTATAGATCTGTGCTATGGCTTTCAATTCATCGTTACCGATTGTGTCGTCTGACAGGGATCACCATTTAGGTCAAAATTTCCAGGACAGAAGCGATAAATCCAAAACCGTTGCGTGTGTTCACTTTCAGTAACGTAAAAGTTTGAA